AGACTTCAGGTTTATTGTTGTTAGATCAGTAGGCTGTCTAGAGGTGTGAAGACCCAGCTTTGATCTCCAGCTAAACAATGCCATGCAGGACACCAATCCCTTTGATCTTTTGTCTCTACCATCTTCAATTAGTTGGCAATTTATTTCTCATCGTCACCAAATGGCTGATGCGACTCTAAGCATTGTGTTCTCACAGAATGACTTCAAAACGAGGGAGGAAGCAAAGATGACGCAACGAAATGACACTCTTCCTCTGTGTGCCGTGTAGATGGACGTGGACGATTCTTTTCACGGATCTTCCCGGAGACCTCTTGCATCTCACTGACTGTAAATGGCTTGCTTACTCAACTTTGTATAAATCATTCATAAAAGAACACGGGGTTGTAGTGATTGGTTCACACCAATCATGATCATCTGTGCCTGGACACCAGGTCATAAGAATAGAATCAGTTTTGCTACCCAAGAGGTGGGCTATGATAACTGGCTTAGGCAACCCCCACTGTTGATGTTCTATATATCTGTGTGCAAACAAACCTAGTGAAGAACCGCATGTGGGAGCCTTGCCTCAGTTACTGTTGTGCCTATGAAATGCTTACCAGAGCTTACAGAGTCTGGGAAGTGTTCTGGGCCAACACTTCAACTTTGGATGAGGGAAATTCCAAATTGCTTTTTCTGAAATTTATTGTTATAATTTACACACAAAGTTATGCTTTGTATAATTATATATTGTATGTAAAATAATACACAATTCTACAATGTATTATTATTTAGGATATATTTAATGTTAACATACATGTCAGTTATATAATATCCATTAACTACATATGGTATGTAATGTTATATGTAATGCTAATTGCACAGTACGTGGTATCATGCATAATGTACATAATATGATAAGCATCTTATACCTCTAATTAACAAGACTATGGTATATAAGGATTCCTTATCACCATTTCCCGAGAATACTTATTGTCACATGACTTTTTGAGCACAGTCAATCTCACAAGTTAAACGGTGGTTTTGATTTCATAGCCCTGATTGTTAATGATCTTTCCATGAATCTGTTGATCAATTTTATGTGTTTATAGGGAAAATGTTTATCCAGGACTTTTATTCATTTAAAATCAGATTATTTTAGCTTTTATTATGGAGTCATCTGAGTTTCTCATATATTTTTGAATATTGTTTCTTATCGCATATGTGGTTTCTCAATATTTTCTCCCATTCTGTAGGTTTCCTTTTTATTTTTTCGGTTTTATTCTCTGCTTTGCAGAAACATTTTAGTTTGATTCAGTCACTCATGTTCAATATTTTCCTGTATCTTTGAAATCATGTCCCAAAAGTCAAAGCCAAGACAGACAGTCTGTGGTTTCCCCCTTATTTCACAATTTCAGGTCTTCTCCTTACACTTTTAACATACGTTCTGTAAATCTTTACATGCAGTAGGAGCATCCAACTTCTTTGTATATGTATAGTATACATGCATCCAACTGCTCAATAGCATTCATCGAAGAGCCTATCACGATTTTTTTATGGATCCCTGGTAACCTGGTGATCAGTGGATCATCCGCTTGTGGTTTTTCTTTTTCTTTTCTTTTTTCTTCTTTCTTTCTTCCTTTCTTTCTTTCTTTCTTTCTTTCTTCCTTCCTTCCTTCCTTCCTTCCTTCCTTCCTTCCTTCCTTTCTTTCTTTCTCTTCCTTCCTTCCTTCCTTCCTTCTTTCCTTCCTCCCTCCCTCCCTCCCTCCCTCTCTTTCTTTCTTTTTCTTTTGTGTTTTTTTGAAACAAGATTTCTCTGTAGCTTTGACGCTTGCCCTGGAAATAGCTCTTATAGACCAGGCTGGCCTCGAACTCACAGAGATCCACCTGTCTCTGTCTCCTGAGTGCTGAGATTAAAGACGTGCACCATGACCATCTGGCCTACTTGTGATTTTTATCTCAGTTTTCTCCCCATTTCTGCAAAATGGAGAGTGGTATTTCAATAAAGTTTTCATCAAATTTCTAAATTACTTTGCATAATGTGGTAAGTTCTTCAGACTCATGAAGCGAAAAAAACTGTTATTGTTATAACACAAGAGAAAACCCTCTTCATGAATTAGTCTACTTCAACTTTTTAATGAAAAATTGCATATTAATGAGCTTCCAGGTTCTATGGCATTTGGGCAATGCATGGGAAAGTTTGCTGGTATCCAGCGTTTCCTAATGATGGCCTTCTGTTTCCCTGTGCCCTTGTCATCATTCAGGCAATAATTTGTTGTGGCCCCACTGCATGCCTGGATCAACAGTCACCATGCCATTTGTCCCAGCCATTTCCTGGGCTAGCTAATTGACAACGTTCTTGCTTCGTGGTATGCCAGTTAGTGAAGAAAAGTATGCCTTGCCTCTGAATTATTTCAGTCTAGCTGCTGTCAAAATAGCACAAACGTGTGACCAATTTTCCCAGCTATGTGAAGAATCAAAGCATTGCATATGATTCGGACACCATAAGGCATTGCTGCAATTGAAATACTTCACTCTGCCTGCAGCACTTGAGTCATATAATATACAATCTTGCCACGCAGAATCCCTTGAAGAATAACAGACAGTGATCCCCATAGAGCTACGCTTATTTTCATGGGAATTGAGTGTATTGTGAATGATTGTTTTAGATGTTTAAGAAGGTAGCAAGATACATCTCTGTAGATAGTCCAGGACACTTCAAGATGCTTGAGAGATAAGTTTCCTTCAAGGGACATAATCATTTCATTGCATTGGCCTGTTCTTCAGGGTTCGTCTTAAGTTTTTACAACAGGGTGTAGTGGATAAAGAAGAATTGTAGCGCCGTGGTTTAAATACACCCATTGGCCATGTTTAATCTCTATCATCATATTGAGCATGTTAAACCTTCTGCAGGTCTATTCTGCCATTTTAGGGATACAGATGTTAACAAAGATAGATTGGCTAGGCCTAAATGCAGTCTTGGATTTAAGAGGTAAGAGGATATTCTAGGGAGAACTAAGCCTCTCTCAGTTCATGTATTCTTAATGAAGTCCCATCCCTTGGTGAGGGTTTAAGGTCCTATACGTGGTCAATGAATGACTGCACTTAGCTCAGGTAATTCATAGCTCAATAGCACAGTTTTCTTATAAAGTATAATAAAATGAGTCCACATATGAAAGAAAAGATCTACAGACTCTTCTGGAAATTATAGCATGATCAATGGTAACTTTACAATGATTTTTTGATAGCTTTGGGGCTATCTAGAACATAAAACATCCTGTCTTGGCTTTTAGCTTTGGAAACTCCCCCTTAATCACTACAAAATCCTCATGTTAACCTCTGGTCTCACTAGAGAGTCATTATAATTATATAAGCTTGCTAATTTTGCCACACTGAGAATTGGACCACCAAAAGCTTAAATTCATAGTGATGGGGGCTGGAGAGAAGGCTCATGAGTTAGAGTAAGCACTTCTCCTGTAGATGATCCAGATTTAGTCCCTAGAACCCATGTTGGGTGGCTCACAATCCACATGAACATAAAACACATAATTAAAAATAAAAATAAATTTTAGAAATGAGCTAGGGGTTTTGTTTTTAGCTGCTACGATAGAGTACTGAGGTTCACATCATTTTAGCTCCCTTCGTCATAATTCAGCATCAAACAATACAGCAAAGAAGTAAATTACTTTATTTTACTGTATGTACACTTGCACACCATCTTTACTCCCTGATCAACTGACTTCTCTGGTTCCCTAGAGTTGAATAGGCAAGAGTACCAATGGGGAGAAAATTCTGGATCTTTGAAAAATCTGAATGTTTCCAAATCATCTTCCTACAACACATTTAGGAGAACATTCTACCTCCTTATCAACCCAATAATTTCATTCTTTTTAGAAAGTCTTGCCAAGCCTTCCTTAGCAGCTCTTCCACCGACCTCCTACCACATCCCATCCTAATCCTCTGTATGTTGGTCAATGAACTTTGTGCTTTAGGGTGGAGACATCATCGTCTGGCCATCTGTACATATGGTTGTTGATATGGTACAGAGCCGAAAGAGAAGAGGGCATTCTTCTCGACTGGCAAATGGCTGTAGTTTGCGACTCTAAACCAACAAAATGGTACACTTAAATGCCTTGAGGTGAGAAGAGTTCTACGTGCAACATAGGCTTCAGTTTTAGAGACCGGTATCGTCCACCACTAAATACTTTGTCATTTGGATGGGAATCCTCACCTGAACCCCATTATCTTGCTTGAAACAAACGGGAATAACTCGGTGGCTGGACGATCATGTTTTGAGGTGGACTCAAAATGAGAACTCTAGAAACAACTAGAGGATAAGCTGCTGACTACTACAGCAGCTGCCATGTCAAACACACACACACACACACACACACACACACACACACACTCACACACACACTTCTGTTATTGTGTGTACCTTTAATGTCTGTCCAAATTTATGTATTCGTCGCTGTTAGAGCTGAAGGGAGATGATGGGAATTTTAGGAGGTATGGCTTGGTACAAGTAATTGAGATCACTGAGACGACGACTTCAGGGGGGATATTGGAACTCTGGCCTATTTTCTCTCTTTTAACTTCCTGGTCACTATGAGAACAGGGTCTTTCGTCATGCAGTCTGTTACTGACCCAAGAAGACAGACCCAAGAGAGACTCTGCCAGCTAAGGACTAATACCTATGAACCTTGAACACCGACATTGTCTTTTAAAGATGTTTAGCTCAACTATTTTGCAATGGCGATGGATAACTGTCTAAGGTCCCCTACAATCCCAAAGCACTCTAAAGCAGCCTACCCACGCTATCACAGAGAGAACTGTTTCCTGATGGAGTAGGAGCCTGGCTCCACAGCAGGATAAAATCAACCTAACTTGATGGGGTGGAGAAAATGAGTTTCTTTTCTCACCTTTGTACTTTGAGAGACTACCTGTGATTTGTGCGTAAGTGTAGTACAAGAGGCTGAACCTGAGTTTAGTGAATCATTTATGGAAACCTTGACTAGCAATAACTAAAATGCGTTAGTTTTGCGGTGTAGACTTGAAACGGGACTAGGAGAGACAGACAGCTCAAATACAATCTGGTAAGTAATAGAGAGAAGTTGCAGAATGATATGGGGCTCGTGGAGGAGGAGAGATATGAGCTGGTTTTGTAAAACGAAGAGAAGAATCAAGGAGAAGACAAAGAGCGCAGACTGCAGAGTGAGTGCAGACCAGAGTGTGGACACCGTAAGTGTGCAAACTGGGACCATGCTGTGAAAATCTACAGCCTAGAAACAGAAAGTCAGGAACAGAAGCAGACAGTGGGTGATCTGATCTTTTCAGAAGAGAAGGAACCCATCATAAAATGCCTGGGAAGTCAGGGAAAGAACTTTGTCTTTCTGGGGAAACCCCAGGAGATTTCTTGAATGTGGTGTGGTTTACCCCGGGGATAGAACATGCTCCTTAATGCTGTTACAATTCCCCTGTGGTTTTAGTATTCTCTGGCCTGGACTGTCATTTCTTAAGGAATGTAGAGAAAATCCTATGCGTAAGTAGACCGTTTGAAGGAATCACTCTTTAGAATTATGGATTATATTTGACATTAGGGGACTGGGGAAAACCAACAAAAGACCAGAATGAAATTACATCTTACACACAATTGCCATCTTTCCATCAATAGATCCAGCAGGAACATAGTCTCCAAAGAAAGGATGTAAAGGAATGATGGGTTGGAACCACTGAACCAACCACCTTCTAAGCTAATGGGTAGAAAGAGACAGCAGATGGAGGGGCTCCTGAAGAGGAAGCTGGAAGTCAGAAGGAAGGGGAGAAGATAAGAACAAGAGCAATCTTGGTTCCACATCTTGCCAATGTCACACAACAGGAACTTGCCCTTCATCAGAGATAAACTGAAAAAACAAACAAAACAACCCCACAACTTGTGGGCTTGAATCTTTAAAAAAAAAAAAAAGCCCCAAATTCTCTTGTTGTGTCTATATGTAAAACGTAAAATTCGGAAGTAGGTAAAACTTTAGCGTCAAGAACATTATCAGAGTTCTGTGTGTCTGAAAAAATTAAGGGAAACTCTTGAAAGGTGAACTAGTATCCTCAAAAACCACTATTAGTAGATACTGTGTTTTATTAGGAAATGATGAATATGCAAGATGATGATATGTTAAGTAGCTTAGGTTAGCCTTTTCACAAGTTATCTGTATATGAAGAAAATCATTTCAAATCTCACAGATAAGTGCACAAAGTTCGTTAAGAGTAAACAGATTATCACTTAAAGGTTCAAAGGACACGCTGATCAGGTTATGGACTGTCACTTCCCATGATAGGAGACAGAGCGGCGGCTGGGATCTCCTGCTCTACAGAAAATGTGGCTTTGCAGGGAGAAGGACTATGGTGTTTTAGTGTTAAAAGTGGTGGCTTTTAAAATTGCAATTTAAGGGCTGGGGCTGTAGTTCAGACTCAGAATACCTGCTACATTTGCCTAAAGTCACGAGTTCAAATCTCAGTGAAGCATTTTTTTAAAAGATTAAGGAAAAAAAATGTTAAATTTGCACTATAAACTCCAAGGGTAATTTTCAGCACACTTGCAAAATGCCAAAGACAATGGGAATGTTGCAAGTAAGCTAAGCTTTCTGTAGAGAGTAGAAGAGTCCTTTTATTGCTCTACTGATTGCAATATGCTTTGAAAAGTTACCTTTGCCAGAACAATGCATCCTGAACGCACAGGTACTGGAATAATAGAGTTGGTGGATATTTATGAAGATTTCATCTCAAAGCACATATTACAAAAAATGTGCATCTGACTCATCCTTCCAAACTAACAGAGACGTGGTTAGTTGTTTTAGAGGCAAGCCCTTGACAAAGGTCAGCTTCTTATCTCTTGCTTGAATGGCAGTGGTTCGCATTTCTATGACTTCGTCTCACACCCCACAAGGACCCACCAAGGGGACATGGGCTTGGTAGCTGGCAAGGGAGCTTGGTATCCTGGGGGAGGAAATCAATTACCACTCTGGGGCTTCCACATCGCTGCTGTCCAAACCACAGCAAAGATGATAAACTGTGTGTGAGCCTGAACGCCTGCTGATTGCCTGGGACGCCACCAGAATCTGGTTCCAAATATGCCAGAAGAGACCGTGTGGAATCCTCTGGCTGCTGTGGCTTCAGACTGACTGAGAAACCTGTTTTGTATTATGGTTGGGAAATATGTATGTATAGATGTATACACACACACACACACACACACACACACTGTTTAACTATTCTTTGACTTTAATGGGACACAGATTTGGTTTGTCTTGGAATGGCTGTTAGGCATTATAATTACAATTTGCTCCCAGCATCAGTGACGGCACACGGTGGAGCTGGCTTCCAGACCACAGAGGCAGAGAGCAAAGAGGACGAGCGCCGAGATGCCTGTGTGCACGCATGGACACACACGCACACGCTTCACCCATTGGTTCATTTGTAATTCATGATGCTGTGGAATGGGGAACATTTTCCCCATTAGAAGCAACATCCGCTCTCTGACAAACTCATAAATCATTGTATCTCTTTGCTATAATGCAAAAATCCATTTTTAAGGCCAGTGCAATATTCAAATCTGTTCATTTGGCAAATGCATCTCATGCTGAACCAAAGATACGTCAAGCTTGACAGGAAATCTTCATTCCTGAATGGACACGCTCCATAAGGTCTATCCAGTGGCCCGCCATTTTGGTTAATGCCCTCATGAAGAGTTCTCCTGCCAGACGGCCGCACTCAGCATTTTCCTTCGTCTCTTGAGTTCCTTCCAATATAGCCTTTTCACCACTTTGTGGGGCTTTGACGTCTCACCCAAGGCTTCAATGTGATAGTAGATTCTGGCAAGAATCCAAATGCACAGGAGAAATAAAGCAGCTCTTAGCTAATGAGGGCTGCCAGGCACCATGTGTTAACTCTGGGGCTTCCCTGCTTTCTCTTAGAAGCTGTAATCCCAGGCTGAGCCACTATTGCAGGGCTCAAGGATCTGAATTATTCAGCATCTCCTTCTTACCAGCGCTCTCTCTTCTTTCACGCCTCCTCCATAGCTTTGTGCAACTGATTCCTCATCCTTTAGTTCAAAGCTCATTGAATTCTCCTGTGTTCTGTATTTTTATAATTTTTTAAAAAAAAAAAAACTAAGAAACTGGGCAAAGACTCTAAATTGCTGCTGGCAGGTAAGCAGGGGAGTTGTGAATAAGTCCACGAATCTTAATTCAGAGCCTGTATTCTAAGATCACATTATACCGCTTAGTGCTTTGCTCTCTGAAGGGACTTAGATTAATGCAGAGAAAAGTTAGTGCTTGATTACCCGGGACGGAATGGAGATGCCTTTGAGATGTGGCTTAGTGAAATTACCTTAAGATTTTTTAAGGTGCTGATTTTCTAGTTGAATATTGGAGGGCTCCCAGAAGGAAAGAAGGCATTTAGTACAAAAGAATAGAAAAGAGGGCAGAATGGCTGATGTTGGTAGAACACCAATCACTGCAGAGCACCTAGGAGCAGGAGGTCACCTCCGCAGCCAGGAACTTCCAGGACTTTCTCTTTGGCGATGAAGAGCTACTGCCCAAGGAATCCGTGACATTCTCATAAGCCTTTGGTACTGTTCACTGTCCTTATTTCTCAACGTTGGACCTCAAAACGTTATTGGTATTTTTAAAGGGGTGGAATTTGTAATAAGCTTTCCTTAGAACAATCCACAGGTTTGGGAGCTTAATTTAAACGGCCCAAGTGGTTTTAATGTAGTAATTTGTTTTGTTTTCTAAAGCCAGCCTTAAGTTTCCATGGCAACAACTTTGAAAAGGAAGCAGCCCCTACACAACACCTTACTCGCTGTGAATTAGAAAAGTAAAGCGGCAACACAAAGAGTTTCGCTTTTCACTGCCTATCATTCAAAGACTTGGTTTAGGTAATTAGTTTCTATCCGGATTTCTTTGGGGCAGCCGGTCTCCTTTACGATGAGATTTAACAATGTTGAGTGCCTGTCTGCCCTCTGCCTAGAGCTCGGAGAACCACTTTGATGAGCAGTCTTCCCTGGGAGCCTCATACCAAGGCCACGAGGAGTTCATAGGACTTTGGTCCATTTTACAGATTAAGAAATTAAGATTTTAAGAGGTGAAAAGATTGGGTTTCCTGAACCAATTAAAGGAAAAGTGTTTGAACACATGTGAACACACACACACACACTTGGCCCACTCATTTTAAATTCCAAGTCTAGCTCTTTTTCTTTCTGTTATACATTGGTTCTGTTTTTAATACTAAATGTGGTTCACATCTTGATGTTTTTTTCCAATGGAGTAAATTTTTTTTCCTTTAACTCCTGAGCATCCCCAACTGGGCTGAACAAGCATAAAGGAAATGAATAAGTGAAATTATGAGCTTTCTAATGTGGCTATTTCTAGATCATGTGCACAGGTGGTGGAACCTACACATGTACTCCTACATGATGAATAATAGACACTTTTGCTTTCTGGTCGGGGCAAAGTCAATAGGCAGGATGTAAAGTCAGTATCCTTGATGTTTCTCTTCAGCTTTCTTTAAATGTGCTCAGATTATCCTTGAAGCTTAGAGTCAAGGTCTGCTTCTGTAGGAATAAATGGCGACCTCCCTGAACAACGCAAAACATGAGTCTGAGTGTCTTCAGCATCTAAAGTGCTCCCCCACACTTGGCTCTGAAAAGTACATAGAATTGCTGTTTATTGTCTCTCCTGAGGTTCATATCCTAGCGAACACTAAGTCTGCATGTGAGAGGGAGATTCCTGTGAATTTTTTAGTCTTCTCAGAACAGAAACGCAAGTGATAGAAGCAAACAGCACAAAGCAGAAGTGAAATAGTCACATGGCTGCTAGAGCTATAAATCCTACACAAAGACATTTTTGACAAACACGGTGCCTTTTAGAAAATCCAACACTGATAGTCTGGGGAGGGTTTGCCTCCTGGCTTAAATCATCCATTACTGGTGGATGACCCCTGAGCTAGGCCTCCTCTTGGATGTGAAAGACATAAGAATTCAAAAACTAGAAATGCCTCTGTTAGTACTGACACAGATATCAGATAGATCACTGTGCAGGCCCCTTATGTGCCATGTGTGTTTAACAGTGATGTTGACAGTGGCCATGTGTAACACTTCACAAAAGAGGCCCTGAGGAGGACAGTAAGCTTGGGTTGCAAGATTCCCCTCTCTGTAGAAGCATAATTACTGGTGAAGAATCACTGTTGCCAGACCAGGTAGGTGGGAAAGGCAAAGGAGATAGAGTTGAGGAATGTGTCTGAAAAATCCAGCAATGCCTGAAATAAGTTCTGTATGCATAGTATAAACCATATATACATACATATATTCATATATGTGTACATACACACACACACACACACACACACACAATATCTTGTCTTGTCATATCTGGAACTCCAGTATCATAACCTTGCTTTGGAACTGTGTTGCTTTTGTTTTCTGTGATCAAATTACTGACAGGAAGCATCTGAAGTGAGGGAGGGCTTACTTTTGTTTCCAGTTCATAGAGCTATAGTCCATCACAGTTAGAAAGGGCAGGAGTGTGAGGCAGGTGGTTTCATCGTATCAACGATGGCTCAGGCCAAAAGCAAAGAGAGGACCAAAAGTGGACGTGAACTATTAAATGTGAAGATGTGAAGGCTCATTCTTCAGTGACTCATGTCCAGCAAGGTTTTGCCTCCTAAAGGACTCATGACATTACAAAACAGTGCCATCCATTGGGAACCAAGTGTTCAAACATATGAACCTCTGTGTAGGCCATCTCAAATTTAAACCATAAAAGGGACTATTAATAAGATGTGTAAGAATACAAACACTGCTAAATCACCGTAGCTTATAACCAAGATGGTTATCAAATCAGTAACAGGTGGTGTTGAATTGTCAACTTGACACAATCTAGAGTCACCTAAGAAGAGAGTATCAGTGAGGGATCATCCAGAAAAGACTGACTTGTGGGTACATCTCTAGGGGGAAACTTTGATCACGTTAGGAAAGTGAGGAGACCTGCCCACTAAGGGTGGCACCATTCCCTAGGAAGAGGATGCTGGACTATATAAGACTAGAGAGAGCAAACTGGACACTAGCATGAATACATTTATTGCTCCCTGTTCCTGGTTGTGTGATATAAATAATTTCTTCAAACTCCTGCCGGTGTGATTTCCCCACCATGATGGACTACAACACATAACAGTGAGCCAAAATAAATCTTTTCTCCCCTATTGCTCCCCTATTGCTCCCAATTGTCCGTGCCATGACCTTATCACACCAACCGGAAATAGAACTAAAATAGATGGGCACCATATACAGTAGAGCCACCTGGTAAAATCGCTGATCCACCTGCCGGGCAGGATAGAGTAAAGCAGCATGTAATTTAAAATGTTTGAATTATTTATTTTTGGATTTTTCTCCTTAATATTTGGGACAGTGAGTGACTGTAACCAAAACACAAGAGAGTGTGTGGCCAAGAAGGGCCAATGGACTAGGAAGCAGAACCCTTAAGATCGTTTTTGAAACTGGCTATTGTGCTACCTACTTATGGTAGCTGAGTGGACCTGGGTTACTCTGTGTTTAAAAGGGAGATAGTGTCCCAGCTTTCGGCCGTTGTGAGAGTTAAACAGGAGGAACTACATTAAGCATCTGCCATCTCCACACTGTGGCTGTGGATCTTGGCCTGAGGCAATCTATTCTGGATGGCCCCTCATTTGCTGAGATAATTTACATAAATAGTCCAAAAAGAATCTCCTCTCTTTGAATTATGTGCAGAGGGAGAAGCAAGGTGGACACTTTCTCTTCACCATAAATTTGAGGAAGTCTTCACAAGGGACTTTTCATTATTGGAGTCTTGAGCTGTTCTTCTCCGACATTTCCATGTTAATGAGGCTCCCGGAGGGGTGATAGAATTGATAGAATACTCCTGCGAGCCTGCTCTGTGATCTGCTGCCACCGAGGTGCAGAGATACATCTTCTCTGTGTCAGAAAGCTCAGAGAGGAGGTGGAACCAAACTCTGACTTGAGCTGTAGCGCTTCCTTTGAAGAAGTCAGTGTACTGGGCAGGCTGACTTCAGAGTCGCCGGACCATGGGGCTGGCCTGATAAATGTCCTGCAAGTGCTGCTATGGCTTTTCAGACACCCGAATGTCACTGGGAGAAAACATGCAGAGATGGGAGGTTCTCAGCAAGTACTCTGTGTAGGCCATCTTGTCATCACAAAGTTTGCATTTCTGCAAAATCACAGAATCTACTGGAAAGACCATGGGCTACAGACTCAGCCAGAACACACTTCCTGGGCTTCCAGCTGTGCCTTTCTCTAACTGCCTCGGTGAGACCTGGAGCAAAAAGCATCTTGAAGACTCTTAATAATGTCCAACATGAAACCAAGTAATAACCACTGTATCAGAAGGTTGCAAGGATGCCAGGGACCACACCAAAGGCTCTTAATAGACTCTAAATCCCTTAGAGCTTGCTTTCAAGCTGCTGGTGGTAAAGATTTAACAGCTAAGTCTCCAAAGGGGTTCCGGGAGAGCCCGGACTCGGAGCCTTTGCCTGTGTGTCTGTGTTGTAAACTGTCCTTTGGGACTGTTGTCAAGTGCTTAACCTGAGCTAATTGACTGTGGGGTGGGAAGAGCTGCGGTCAACACCAACACCTGGTCACTCTACCTTCACAGGGCCTTGTCTTTCTTTTATGCTCATTTATGCCTTTTGGTAGTGTCTGTAACTCCATGTTGAATAATAAAAGATTTTAAATGTATGCTTGTTGTCTTCTGTCCTTCAGACAATGAATGGACAGCATCCACTCCAGGTTAAGGCTTCGTTACCAAGTACTATTGTTGTCTAAAGTGAGGACAACCTTTTTTCCTTTCTCTGAAGGGAAGTGGTCTCAGGTCGGAACACACATCTAGGCCGGAGGAATGACACGATGGACTTCACAGCCCTTTGTTGCCATGACTGAGTGCCCTTGTATAGGACATGCATAACTTCTTAACATTATTTGATAGCCTTGACTTATGCCCTCTCTCTTTCCAGGATATGGGGCCTTCTTAGGTGCTGGGAAGTAGCTGTTTACTGAGAGGCCATATTTCCCAAGGTAAACCAAGCAAACAACAGCAAAAAGAATTTTGTCATCTCCGGTATTGGTACTTTGGCAAATACAGTCAAAAGAAAGACTGTTTTGGCTTTTAGGGTATTGAATTTTAATCTTCAGTGAGTATATGGACCTGCAGAGATGGAGAAGTCAGAAAGCATGTGTGAGATTGTCCTGATCATTAAAACACTTGTCTTGGAGTCAGCTATTGGACTGAACTTGAAGATTATTTCTACTTTAGGGAAGATGTTCACATCTGTACTGTGTAGGGCAGATTAAAAGCTACCTTTCGAAATGTTACCTTATAAAATCAGAAGTGCTGTGATCAGATTTAACAGATGTGAAAAGTGGTTCAGAGAAGCTAATAACAGAATTGTGAGACTGGGCCCAGGTCCCAGGCATTAGGCTATGCCGAGCACTGGCTTTTAAAATTGCATTTTCTTGGTTGTGTGCTATTAACTCGCCCTTCTAGACAGCATGTCCTGACTGGTTTCTCTTCTGAACCACAGATGAGAAATGTTACCTTGTAAAATAACACAGAATACGGTATATAATTTAAACGTCCGTGATGATGCACAGCGACGTATCTGGTGTGTTCTGAAGGCACTGGGGAAAGTTATCTCACTGCGAACAGTGAATAACTGCAAGCCGTTACAGGAAAGGATTCATAACCCATGACCAGAAGCTTCCCTAAGCCATAGCAATGAAATAGAATGACCCCGACCCATTCAGACCTGCACTCAAGAACACGCTCCTGCTGGAACCTCCACTATTTCATCCAAGCCCTTGGTACACAGCATTCACTGTCCTTTAGGAAAAATGAGACCAACGAAGTTGAGCTCTTAGAACATCACTCAGAGCTAGGGAGATGGTCTATTGGATAAAACACTCGTTCTACAAGCTTGAGGATTGAAGTTCAGAGCCCCAGAACCCACTTAATAGCCAGGTATTTGTGACAGTCCTTTGTACTAGTGGTGAGGATATAGAGACAGGATCCCCAGGGCAAGCTGGCTGGAAAAACTAGCTAAGTAAGTGAATCAGATTCAGTGAGAAACCCCTTATTAGGAGAGAAAGATCAGGGAAGACACCTTAGGTCAATTTCTGGCCAACACACACATACATACACACACACAAGCTCACATGCACAAACACACACACACACTGTATTTGCATCTGTACATATGTGTGCCAACATACATATACACACAAAAATATGTAAACATGAAAGTAAGTAATTAAAAAGAAAGTGTGTTGGATTATACATTCTCATTTGATGATCTGTACTCTTTGTTACTGTAAGTAACCTCAAGTTCTTCATCTATACAGTGAGATCTACCCAAATCCATGTCTGAAAAGCATTGGGAAACACTCACAAGCAACAGCAGCGTCAAGTAAGTCATGCTGGCTCAAATCTACTGTGTAGATGCCTGGCCATCAGCAGGCATGGCCTGGCTCCAGTGAATACACTGGTGTGTGAATTACTCATGGTGGAAATGGTGAAATAGGAAATGAAAGACTGAGTTGTGGAAGATGGTGTGCGGGAAGAAGAACTTGGGAGTCTTAATAAAGGAAAGCATTTCAGGCTGAGTGTCCAAGGGGAGCAGGAATATATCAGGAAAGGGTGTGTATAGGAGACATGGCTGCCTCAGCAAGTGAGGACAACCCAGAGACCCAGGATAAATGCTATGACTGTGAGCAAAGAGGATGAGGGTGTTGATGAAGGAACAAGGAAGTAGGCAAGCAAGAAGGGCAAGAAAGGATGACATTTGTTTTTCCAAGTTTTATGTCTTACTATAGAGAAGTAGTGTGCTTTTCAGATGCGGGTCCTCATGGGAACTCATGGGTGCATCTCAGAAGCTGCCTGTCCAACTAAGGAGGGAACGGTGGGAGACAGGTGAAATACGCTTTCTTTCATTTCAACTGCGTTCACAACTTGTGTCTTTAAAAGAAATGAATTGCTCTGAGTATAAACACCTTACAGAAAAGCTGACTCGTGAGAGCCCTTGGACTGATCGCTTGAGCAGAAGGAAGAGTGGCCCTTTGCTGTGGGACACAAGGAAACAGGTCAAGAGAAGCAGACATGGGTGAACAAATAAGACAAAAGCGGCGAGAAGTGCATCTTTGCCATTCTCTAATATCAACAGAAGAATCTGTGCTATTCCCACAGTCCGTGTCCAGACTTTTAGTCATTAACCCCAATCAGGGTCTCACTGTCCTCTGTGACACATATCTACGGTCTTCCGCCCTCATTCCTTTCTCTCTTCCTCAGTTTTGCTCTGCATCTCCGAGGTCTTTTTCTCTGCGCTCCACGCCACAGTCAGGACTTTGCACTATTGATTGTTTCCTTCTCTTAGAGCAGCTCTTCAGATCACGATTGCATTTTGACTCTCTGAGAATTTCCTCATTTCGTTGAGCCCCCATTGTTCAAGCCTGACTCTCAATCTCTATCTGAGAAACAAGACGGGAGGATGAAAGGGGTCCCTTCGATGGCCAGTTCATCTAGCTGCCAGCTGTGTCCCCCATTAGACCGTGTCACAGTCATCTCATTTTTCCTCTTTTGTTTCATATCCCCATTTTCTAGGAAGTTTTCCTAAATTTAGTTGACGGCACAAAGCAGAGACGGTCCCCCTTGCCTTACAATACTTGTAGTCTGAGGCACACATTTTTCTGTCTCTTCGGTGTGATATTTATTACCCCTTGCCGTGACTAGGGCTTTTATTTCACCAGGAATGTTCTCAATTTACAATCATTCAACCTTAAAACTAGGTGAATGGATGAAGCCGGCTTCCCTTTGACCCCTGACCACAGGTGAGTAGCTGACCCCTCTGTCCCCTTCTTGTTCACCTGGCTGCTGGTGCTGTAGGCTACAGGAGACGTGGTCACACTTGTTCATTCTCATTTTCAGCTGACTGATGAAGCCGCCAGAGGGGAGAAGAAAGAGAGGGGAGGCCACGGGCCAAGTCCCTGTTCCTTAGTTTCCATGTTTGCTTAAACTCTTGTCCCAAGGCTTGTCGCCTTTGTGTTTAAGTCTCATTTGTTCTATTTCTTGTTCAGGTACAAAGGGTAGCTCTAAACAAATATTGGAGCCTTGTGAAGAAATTCAACTCATAGAAGCATTTCCCTATAAAAAATACCACATGTTTTCTCACATCTGAGGTACCTAGATTTTATATAGGCATAAAATCATATATGTGTCTAGGACACAAAATTAGAAGCAAAACTGTCTAGGAGAACAAAGGAAACTAATGGGAGGGGACAAAAGGAAGTACAGGAAAATGTATAGCATATAAGACGTACTCACATGGAAATACACTTATGTAACACAGTGTTATACAATGAGTATATACTATGGATTTTAAAACCAAATATATCTACTCATAAAAGAGAAAACGTCTGCAGCATGCATGTCCAGTAGGATGAAGGAGTTGTCAAATTAAATGATTTTATATAATTTATGACAATTTTCTCTTGGGATTCAGAAATTTCAGCTCTTCTCCTGGACACAGCTGACTGGGAAGGTAGCTGAGCTCCGTGGGACCAACAACTTCTTGTGATATCACGGTGGGCACCTTGACCGACGAAGAAATTTCTTACTGAGTGGTGGCTAGCTACTGCCATTGGCTTGTCTTTGTGGAAGTACAGTTGTAAGTATTTAGTTAATTAAATAAAATATACTCTCTTTAACGCCTTAGGCTGCCACAAAACCAAGTCAACCATCATCTACCCCAGGTTCAGAAGTTCTGAGCCCCAGGAGCTTGTGGACTGTAGCTCAGAACTCAAGTATGTGACTTTCCCAGCACTGTGATTGAATGGCACATTATTACCAAGCAGGTCAGTGGTTTTACAGGGAATTGGAAAACTTTGTACACTGTTCAGATAGGACAATGCTGGTTGGATAAACCCTTTATGTCTTCTGCAGAAGACGCCTTCAACAGGGTTTCTACTTTGCCAACTCCAGTCTAATGTCATAGTGAAGCACATATTGAGATCTAGCTGAATTAAACCCAGGCAAATGTGCTGTTGGTCTTGCATGAGAGTGTTCGCCTCCTCGGATACGGCAAGCTGCCCTTTGTTCGGCTGAAGACAGTTTAGAAAGCTGGACATGGTTCCTGTTGACAGTATTAGCTTGGCACGGGATGCCGTATTGCATATCCAAGCTTTGGAAGATTGTTTTATGACTAACATTTGGGTTAAATCTATAAAGATTGTTTATCTTTGACATTATTTCCCTTCAGAAAAGCAATAACAGCCGCATTTGCCCCCTGCCACGTTGCCTGCACCACGGTGAGGAAGATGGTGGAATGAGGGGGAGGAAGAAATAATGAGGAAATGCAGAGATGCTGTCTTGCCCCGAGTCTTCCAGTTCTGTTGCTAGAGGGAAAAAATATTGACATGACCCAGAAGGTCTTGCCTCGGGGAGTCCAGCAAGTGAAAATTGATGGATGTTCACCACCAAATCCCTTTCCTTTGGGGATGTTATCATGTCACATTTCTGAAAATATAGAATGCGCTCTGGATAATATTTTCACATATGCTGATGAATGCAGCTGCCAAGAATAGCATACTTTAAAGCAAGAAGCCAGGGGATGTTGAGGCTGCCTCTCAACAGAATTTATGAGCTCTTGGTCATCCTCCATTCCTTCAGGGATGTTCTGCGTTTTACCTGTTTCCCTCTGCTGCATCCTTCCATCGACCCTCCTTCAGAAAGTGATGATTGCCAATGACAAAAGCTTGGTTCTTAGTTTTGTGAGGGTTAGAGATGGCAGATAATAAAACTGCTCCATTTTGAATGATCAAAGACACACACACACATACATACACACACACACACACACACACACACACACAGAGAGAGAGAGAGAGAGAGAGAGAGAGCACCAAGCCAAACTGAAAGACAATTTAAAATATAAGAATCGAATCAAAGTCATCCATACTTTATCCACAATAAAAAAAAAATTTCAAACCTCTGTTTTATTTCACACGTCAGTGCAGTCTTTTGGAATTCTACCTTCTATGTTTCACAGAAGGAATGGAGCCAAGTGTCCATGGTGCCCTCGTCTGATTTTCTATCACTGTGATAAACGCTGTGATCAAAAGGAACTTGGGAGTGGAATGTCTTTATGTTGTCTTTTACTTCCGGGTCAAAATTCATCCCTGAGGAAGTCAGGGAAAGAGCTCTAGCAGGAACTGGAGCATGAGCTGCGATGTAATGATGCTGCCTGCGCTCCTCCCTGCATCTGACTCCTGCTCAGAAGGCCTTTAAATATAGCCTATGCCCACCTGCCTAGAGATGGCGCCACCCACAGTGGCGTAGAGATGCCAGCTGGGTCCTCCGGCAATTGTCAAAGTCGAGACTAAGACTAATCCTTCACAGTCATAGCCACGAACCTTCTTCACTTACAGTTCCCTCTTCCCAGGTGACTTTGGATTGTGTTAAGTTGACAATCAAACCTAATTAAGGGAGTTGCTATTATCATTTATTAGGTATTCAAAGCAATCAACGGAATATTAATATTTCACTTAATTATTCCTCTATTCTTACATAATAATCGGTTATAGATGAATAGAATCCATCAGAGGTACAACTGCAAACCCTCTTTGTTATCCTTTGGCCTTTTTCTTTTGATCACTCTGTGAGGAACACACTTAAGAATATTGGATATTTATTGTTCACACTATTAACACTTTTGCTAAGTTACCATCCCAAAGAGATTTAGCAAGTAGAAGTACGGAGACCAGTATCTGCACCTTAATGTGGCACAGCATCCTCTCTTGAGGACTTCTGAAAGACTTTCACAGGTATAACGAGTGATTGTGGAGATTCAGCCTGTCAGTCCGATACAACACCAATGGAGAACACTTGAAAAACGTTCTGGAACCAGCTCTCTTCTTCCTGCATTCCCGTCTCCCACTACAGCACTTCCTCCGTCATCTCCTGCCCCCCTTTCTCTTCCTCTTGTTTCTCCTCCTCCTCTTGAGACAGGCTGTCCCTATATAAGCCAAGCTGGCCTGAGAGTTGCTGTGTAGCCCAGGCTAGCCTCAAGCTCAGGATCTTTTTGCTCCCACCCTCTAAAAGGTGGGATTACAGGAATACTCCACTGTAGACAGATGAGCTGTCATCTAAGAGTTAAAGGTATAACAATTTTATTGGACTTTGGAATTGATTTTTATTTATGAGTTATCTTATGTCTGGCTTTATTTAATTTTATGCCTTTATTCCTCATTCTCTTTCTGTTTCTCTGTCTCTCTCTGGTCTCTCTCTCTCTCTCTCTCTCTCTCTCTCTCTCTCTCATAGCTTTGCAGACTGAACCCAGGACACACACAATTCTCTGTACTATTGAGCTATGTCCAATGCCTTCTTTTAGTTTAAAAGTTTTGATACAGGTCCCACTGAGTTGTCCACATTGGCCCTGAACTCATTCTATAGCCCATTTTGAACTTATGACTCTCTTGCCTTAGCCTCCTGATTCCTAGGATTACGGGCCTGTACCACCAAACCAACTTCTGTATTTTTTTTAAACTATCTTTCCCTAATTATTGATTTGAAAGCATCTTTTGAATGATAAGAATAATACAAAGACTTTAATAATATATGCTTATTAAATAATTATTAAATAACTATATGTAAATATATTGTCTGGATTATTCTTAGATGTTTAAGAAACGTTTGACTTTTTTCTTATTCTTCCTGTCAGTGAAAGCTTGTGCTTACATGTTCCGGCTTGCTAATTTAGGTACTCACTCATTTAAAGTCTTTTCGTCATACCATTTGATAGTTTAAAAAAAATTTCACTTGTATTTTCTTATTTGAGCCACACACCAGTTCCGAATTTGAGAAGACCACGTTGCTTTCTTAATTACACAGGAAAATTTACAAAGCCCAAGCAAGCAGAAAAATGCTTGGAAACTGTGCTTGAGACGTATGCCCTGGGTGAAGGGCTTTGCCTGTGTCCATCTGCAGAAAACAGTGCTTTTTCAACCTTACCAAGACATGCCTGAGAGCAAGGAGAGGACCCAGGTCATTTGGCTCGGGAGGCTTATGCTGTATTTTTAATGCCACCATCCCACAGGTCACACCAGCCACCACTAAGCTGTGACTGTTTCAGTTTTACAGACAAGGGGACTGAGGGACAAAAAGGGCTATAAGTTGTCTTATGCTCTTTAGCTCAAAGAGGGAGACTGAAGTCTTTGTCAAAGATGTCGGTGCTCTGCTCACTGCCTCCATGGGAATAAGAATAGAAGTTTCTATAATCACCATTGAGGCCGTCTGGTGCAGCAGTAATAAAGCCAACATTTGGAACACACGTGTGCCAAGCATCCTCCAAGCACTGTCTATGTCCACACAAGTGTGTGGATCTACACACTCAGAGGTCTCCCAAAGCCCTGCCGAGAAAGGGAAGCACCCAGCCTTCCTTCTTTTCTTATAAATATATAGAAATGGAGGCCCAGAGAAGTTAAGTGAATTGCCCATGGCCACGAAATCAGTGAGGACAGAGTCCATCCTAGTCCCCTGGGGGACTTTGGCTACACTGTGGTGTACTCTTTGGGCCTCTGGTTCTCAGAGGCAGAGGTTATCCAATTAATGAGAAAATTATTGGAGAATGCACACAATAATTCCCTAGAAGAATGTCTCGCCAACCCTATATGGTGCTTGTTAAATGGTGCATACAGCTCTTTCAGTATCACATGGTAGGTCTATTTGCTTTCTCCTGATGGGGCGCTTCTAAGACTGGGGTGCTGGGTCATGCTTCTCCAAACCATTCCTTTCCACAATCCATGACCTCATCTCAGGTTTCCCCAAAGACTTTTCTGCCTGCCACTGTTTTCAATGCTTTTATTCTTCCAAAACCTTCTTCAGAGAAAAAGTTCTAGGAGCCCAGTATAAACTTCTGGTATCTTATAAAAATATTCTAAGTCTAGAAAGCAAACATTCTCTTTAAGTAGTAAACATGGGTACCACTTCAATCTTGTTCCCTCTCAAGCCCTACTCCTCAAGTTCTACTTCTTAAGCCCTGGTGCAGGACCAGCCAAGAGTGGCTTAGCACTGGAAACCCAGTGGCTTCCTGGTAACCCGTGGCAGATGACTCTTCCTGTGATAAAAAAAAAGGGTCCAAACTATGTTTGAATAATTTTCTCATTAACACTTGGTGTATTTCTAATACATTTAAAATAAAATGCCCTTATTTTTATACTGTAACATTATATGTTGTGTTAAAACATTTGCCATGCATATCAACATTTGCTGAACTTATGTCTGAT